CAGGTGCCACAGCTCCGACTGCACGCAACGCAGCCCGTATGCTTGCGCAATGTCTAGGTCCCTCAAGTGCGACTGTCGCTTCCCATGTCTTATTCGTCGCGCTCGGGCGTTCCCACCCCCGACGCCTCCGCTGGTGTCCGCGTTTTCGATCGCTCGGAGAAAGGCACCCCCTGGGAACGGAGCAAATTCGGCTGAACTGAACCGCTCGCTGCTCACGAACGCCTCCTCTTTATGATTTGCGCGCAGGTTGCAGCACTCGACTTGCCCACGCACTATTCCCTTGCAGTACGCGTCGCTCAAGAACCGCGCGGCGTGGCGCCTTCCTACCTTCTCTGCTGGCTGTCCGACCAGCTGCGCGTGCAATGCAACATGGCCTTTGCGAAATTCGCGAATTTCGTGGTAGGCCATGGGCTGTGTTTTTGCGGAATAATCTGCGCAGTATCCCGTTTGCGCATCTTGCGCTCGCTGGGCGGCCTCGATGACAGCGCGCGCTTGCGCCTTCGTGACTTGTCCGCAATGGCTGCAGTCGAACGGCAGTCGGTATGGCACTTGTACATCAACGTTACACTCACGCAGGGCCGTCAGCAAGGCAGGGTGGCTTGGATTCAGCCACTCATGCGTGTATGGTCCATGCAAGGACGCTAGTCGGTTCTTACGGCCACTGGCTTCCATGCCGCGCGCGGCTATCTGGCAGGGGCAAAGCACTGTGGCGTCTGCTCGCTGCCAAGCTGTGCGCGGAAACGAACTCTTGCACTCTTGTGGCCTGTCCGATCTTTGACAACCTTTCAGTGGCTTGAACTCGTGAGTGTTAGGGTCCCAGTTGTGCACATGATGTTGCTTCAGCATCTGCAGCTGCGTGACGTCCTGCAGGTATGTCTGATTCCAAGCGCGCGCCTCTTCTTCCTCCGAGGCGGATAGTGCGTCTGCCGCCCGTGCGCTTTGATACGCGGGCGCCTCCGTCATGCGCACGTCTGTTTTCTGCTCCGGCCAAACCGCGACAGCACCGGCTAGCTCCGCTTCCACGTCTTTTGGGTCTCCATGGTACTGCGCGTGGGACACGTGAGCGTTGTACTGCAAATACTCGCCGCGCGCCTCGTTCGCCTTCGCAGCGTCCAAGCCGAAGATCTCCGCCAATGGTGTGTGTTGGTGCAAGCACTGCACGAAGCATTGACCGTGCGCGTGCTGCGACCCCGTTGTTTTTTGCGCTTCGTACGTCAAGTACACCGCGTCCACTCGACCGACGACGCCGCCGGCTTCCACCGCGCTGCTGCCGAACACATCTTGACACGGCCGCATGTGGTTCTTCATGTTGCAGCGCGGACATGCGCCGCAGACACGCACGCCAAACAGGTGCTGCAGAGCGAGCTGCAGCAAGATTTTAAACCCATCGACGCATGCCAGCGGATCTCGGGCTAGCACTGCGCGTCGCTGATCCCAGTCAGGAAGCGCTTGTCGCAGGGACTCCACGTGAATTGGAAAGCGCGCTGCGAGCGGCGGCCACTGCGAGCTGCCCACGTCGCAGTCTTTGTACAGCGGCGTGCGCCGCACGGGGTCTGATTCGCGCACACGCGCCATACGAACGTACAACAGCTGATGCGCCTCGTCTGGCGAAAACGTAATGAACAAAGGCACGCCGTACCTGACGCGCAAGGCTTGGATTTCAAACCGCATTACGCGCCGCGCTTCCTGCGTGCCTGGTACGACGCGAGATATGTGCTGAAAGTTGCGCAACAATTTGCGCGCGGCTGGAGCGAGACCTGCCACAAAGGGAACCTTGCTGATGTCGCCTTGCACCGGCCTTGTCCGACCAGCCGCGTCCACATAAACGCCCCCCAAAGCCTGCACCAGCTGCAGCGCTCCGCGCTCGAGGTCCTGCGCAGTGAGGTGGCGCCACTTGCTGCTCTGTTCATCGAAGACTGGCTTATCGTACGCGTCCACGCTTCGTGCGAGGTTCACGGCTGATCTGAACATTAAGTTCCAACTCGCAAACCCAAACGTCCAATCTCGATTGACCTGCGCTTCAACTCGCCGTGCCATTGCGCGCGTCCAGCGCTCGAGTGACACGTGTGGATCTGCGCTGCTCATTTCGCCCGTGAGTGCTCCGAAGCGTAGCAGCGCTGCCTTTGCGCTAGCCTCCGCGTCGCCACACCCCATGCTCGTCTTTTCATTCACGACTGCGTTCGGCTTGCAGCAGCCGCCGAGTTCCCGGTGGACTTCCTCTAACGGCACGTGGCTCCGCACCGGCGTTGCAGCTTTTCTGTATCTCGTCCAAGTCAGCGTCATGCGGCAAGAGCGCCACGAGCTCCTCCGGCACGCCGCACTCCGGGAGCTGCTCGGCGCGCTCGCGCACCTCCCGTTTCTCCAAATGCGCGTACGCACGGCGCTGGCGGTTTATTGCGCCCTCTATCAAAGCTACCACGACACGTCGTCTCACGCAAGCCTGATGTATGAACCGAGTCATGGCGTGCGTCTCTCTCGCGTCGCCCGCTGACTTCAACAGAACAGAGACAAATTCTGTTAGCTCGCTGCCCAGTCGAGGCAGTGCCGGTCTGGCATGCGGACTCTCCGCGTCGGCTGTTTGAATCGTTTCCAAGAGCTCCTCCCACGGCAACGGGAAGGTCGTGGCGTTGCCCCGCGCTGCTATGCGGTGCCGCTGCATAAACGCGCCCTCGTCAAGCAGCCTGTCTCCGCGGTATTTTCTTTCGAGGCTGAAGCAAATCATTGTGGTTAGACAGGGACTCGCGCATATTAACTCCATGAACGTTGCCTCGAACTCGTACACCTCCCGAGGCGCATAGAAGATCATCATGTCGTTGCTGAGCGCTTCTGCTGGACGATCTTGCGCGCCGCGTATAGCTCCCATGCAAAACACGCACACCGGTGCTCGACACGCTTCGCAGCAACGCGACGTTGAGCACCGGTTTCTGCACCGTTTGTCCTCTGGGCAGCAAAGCAATTCAAGGGGCTCCGAGGTCATTGTGCTCATGGACCAGTCGTCCAATTCCATCAACATGTTCGCCTGCACTGCAGGCGCGTGCTCTGCAACGAACTTCTCGCAGTACGTTTCTTTCCCGAAAATGTACTCCGCTTCTGCGCGCGTACAGCCCAGGATCCTGTCTCCCTCAACGTTGCGCTGCCAGGAAACCTCATTGTTCTGCACGGAGGGGTTGTACGGGAAGCGACGCGCGCAGACAAGGCAGATAAGTTCCTCTAGAGCCGGGCTGTCCATGGCTGCGCGAAAGGTACGCACAGCGCGCCTGTCCAAAGCTGTGTGGGCTAGTGGCGGCAAACTCTGGCATTTATGAGTCAAGGCCAAGCGATACGCAGCCATGTATCCCGTCGGATCTTCCGAGCACGTTGGCACCTTCTGAGCCAGCGGCGCTAAATCCGCAGCATGTTCAGCAACGAGGCGCTCCGTCAGTTCTGCTGTCGATGCTGCTTCGAAGTCGCAGTCTGCGAACGCGCAGTGCGTGTTTGGCAAGTCGACAGCTTGCATGACGTCTGCGGCAACGCCTTGGAACCGGCGCGGTAAAGTTGGGTAGCGACTCAATTTCTCTGCTACTTGCTGCGCGACGGTATCTCGGTCCGCCCGGGGATCTGAGCTTTGCGCGCTGGGCAACAAACGCAAGTGGAAATGGTCATGCGCAGAGGGTGCCTCGCTTTTCTCCACGCTGCACCACATACCCGACGGCGGCTGTTTGCCTCGCAGGCGCGCGCGCTTTCCAGACGGAGGCGCCCCGCCTTGCAAGCTTTGTCCCTGCGCGCATGGCGCCGACGCTTCCGAGCGCTGCCGCTTTCGATCTTCTGCGCGGCGCGACGTCTCCGCCTTGCGTTTCTCAGCTACTCCGCCTGGACCCTTGTCCTTGCATGAGCCCTCCCCTGCCTGGGCGTCGCTTGCGAGCGCAGATGCCCACTGCTCCGCCAGCCACTCCGCTGCTCCTGGCTCGGCTGCTTCCTCGAAAACATCTTGCAGCAACTCCTGGAATTTATCGCCGGAACAAACAAAAAATGGGCTGGCCCCCAGTGGAGGGGTCGGCGGCACTGGGCGGCAGCCCTTAAATTCTGAAACGTGACTAAGATGAACAAAATAAAGGAAACACAATTTGAAATTCAAGATGTACACTTTGTGCAAAGAAAGAAGGCAAAACGCCAAAGTCAAACATGAGAACACTGAACCTTCTCAGTAAAGGAAGTCTAATCGATGAGAAATCGAAAGACCAAACTAGCTGATGTGTGTGTGTGTGTTTGCTTTACGTGCTTGCACACGCGCGCGGGCGCGCCATGCTTGGTGCAATTTTCCCAACCACCAGCGCCCCTGTGAAGTGCCAATTCATGCCATGCCATCATACTGTTCGGCCATACAAATGCATACAACGGCGTTTTCAGTTTCCTTGAAGCCGGCTTGACACAGGTTGCACTTCGAGACGGGTAACAAGCCAAGACGCAAGCCAAACATGGCTGGAGCACAAAGAAGCAACCAACTTTATGAAGTCGGCACTCCCTGAAGTCGGCGGAATCCGCCAGAGGCTCTAAAAGTAAAGAGGCATCGTAATGCGGAGCAAGCAGCATCTGTTACACTGGAAGAAAGGGACATACATCGTGAGCTTGCCTGATTTGTGATGGGTAAAAGGAGCAGTGCAATGAAACACAGAAGGGATAGTCCAGAGCGGGAGTCCTCGCTACGACTGGACGCCTACCGTCGATACTTTGGCCAGACAGGCTGAATGGGGAGACTGGAAGCTGGTTGCTTTTCGCACCAGTGCGCTGTGGGCATAAAGTCTCAACGTGAAGGACAGCGGGGCAAAAAACGGTACACATAATCATGCTGTTGCGCATGTTTACGCGGAGCTGCCGCGTCATCATGATGCTGTGAGTGGGCCATCTAATTGCAGGCATCATAACAAAACCTGCCAGAATCAAATCAAAGGCAGCAGCACATGCCTGCATGTCATGTTACAGCTGCCTTGCAGTCTGTGACCTCAATCGACTGAGAGCCCAACCCATGACTCCGCGCCCACGATGTCTGTGAATGTTGGCAACAGCTTCCCAGGAACGCCTTCACAGTAGAAACCTGCCCTAAGTTGAGCAATTTCAGTGGTATCGCACCTCAGGGATGCACGCTGTTGCATCTGCGGGTGCTTGCCCTTCACGATCACGCGAAAGTTGCCCCACCATTCCTCGCGAAAAAAACACACATGTGCTTTCTTGAATGAAGATGCAGAAGTCCTCATCCGTCCACTCCCGGCGGCAGCTTTTGTACACCATCACCCCGCAGATAGACAAGCCTGCGCTGCCAGCTGAAAAGGAAGTTACGAGAAGGTTGAAAACAGCGTCAATCCACAACAAGCCTGCATCTCCTTTAACTGGCGCATGGTGTCCAAGGCCTCAGCCAATGCGTTGCTTGAGTGGAATGGTTGTGCAACATGTTTGCCTGGTGAGTAAGGAGGTCGAAGGCATAGATGTCTTTCACCTCGCGCAGTCAAGCACTGGGCATGCTGGCTCGAGGCCTCCATACACAAACCCGCAAACTCAACAGCATTCACAGCATTCACCCAGTTTGGTGCCCAAGGCTCACTGTGTTTGGAATTCGCGAAAATTGCCGCCCGCGAAAACAGCGCTTGGCAAGAGGCGAGCTCCCTGCGAGGCGACGCACGCAATGACATGCCTCGCAAATCGCTACGGATAGCGCACTTGCATCTCTCGTGCCTGCGAACAGAAGAGATAAGAGGCCAAAAGAAGGGAAAGAGGCAGCAGCAAGGAAAGCAAGGAAGGGAAGGCAAGGGAAGGCAAGGCAAGGGCAAGGGAAGGCAAGGCAAGGGAAGGGCAAGGGAAGGGAAGGCAAGGCAAGGGAAGGGAAGGCAAGGCAAGGGAAGGCAAGGGAGGACAGATGTCCATCTCTCCACCCTGCACTCCTGTGCTCCTTCCTCTCCTTCCCTCTCTTTCCCTCTGTTTCCCTCTCTCCGCGCCTCTCTCCTACTTCCGCCTTCGCGGCATGCCATCCAAGGAATCCAGGGCCAGCGCCTGCGCCAGAAGCAACCGAGAGATGCGTCGTCAAACTGCATCAAGTCGTTTCGACGGCCTTTGCTGCAACCAGCCGTTCGAGTTTGACATGTCCAGCGGCTTCGTTTTCTTTCTCTCCGAGAACTCAATACGCCGGCCTTTGGACCATCCTGCATTCTTGCACACCGTTCTGCTTTTTGTCTTGCCCCACGGTCTTCACGGCTTCACGCGCGCCTCATGTCTTGCTTCGCCCTCCTGGACTCGGCGGCAGCACGAGGCCTGCCAAGCACGGCGCAACTTGCGACTGCTGACTCGCAGAAGCCTCTTCCGCCGCCAGCTCGGCATGGCGCCGCTCCTCCTAGCTTAGAAGCGGTTCCCATCGGTTCCCTATCCGATGTGAGGGACATTGTCCTTCTCACACTCTGTGACCAGGGTCTGGCGAAGGCGCAGGTACCCTTCCTCGGCATCTCCTGCCTGCGCGCAACGCCGGTCAGACGGCCACGCATGCCACGCAGCGTTCCCATGCCACATGCGACTCGAGCGCAGACCCTGAGGCGCACCTCCAAAGAGATAGCAGCCAAATCAGCCGCGTGCTGCCTGACCAGCTCCTCCTAAAGAGAAGCCAAGGAGCGCAAAGCCAAAGGCTCACGTCGGCTGAGTGAGAGCATTCTAGCTGCTTGCACGCATGCCGCACATGCCCATTGCCTGTTGCTGATCATACTGCTCTCTCAACGCAAGCAATTGCCTCAGTCGATGCCAAACCCCGGGAGCACAAGGAACAGCTTCCGAAGGTTGTGGCAAGTCTTGTCGCGAGACCTGCGACTTCGAGTGGCTCTCTTGCGACCGCTTGCCCCTTTGGCAGAAATCTCCATTTGCCTGCCTTCCGAAAACCCCAAGACTCTCAAATGGCCTCAGAGGAAGCTGGCCCAAAGTTCAGGGATTCAGCCTCCGCCTGCAGGCCAACATGCGAGGCAAGAGGAAGGAGCAAGGAAGGGAAGGGAAGGGAGGGGAAGGGAGGGGAAGGGAGGGGAAGGGAGGGGAAGGGAGGGGAAGGGAGGGGAAGGGAGGGGAAGGGAGGGGAAGGAAAGTAGAAGGTATTGCAAGAACTTCGCAAATCAGATTCCCGTCTCAGAACGCTTCAGTCATCAGCCTCGGGAAAACAGAGTTGAGCTAAACGTGTGTTCGTTGCACCTTGAGACCTTGTTCAACTCAAGTCTCTCCCACTGGCTGCTTTACTGCGGCCTCTGCAGCCAGCAGCTGTAGCTCTTTCCGTGCCTCCCACTCCTAAAGCAAATGAGCGCATCACATCTTGCAGCACAACTCTTGAAACGGGTCAACTCAAGCTTGCGAAGATTGGATTGCCCTGAAAATGAAACCAGCAACGAGAGCCAGGTTTCTCTCAACGGAACGTGGCAGCCCTGCGCCCAGTTTTTGTTTTTGTCGCACTGCCAACACTCACACATGTGGACAAACCCCGCATGTCACGTTAAACAATTGCTCCATTCCCAGCTAAATTGCGTTTGACTCGTCGTCCGTAGTTCGTTGTTGCTCGTTAGTCTCTGTGTACAATGGCCCTTTCTTGGCCACCTCTGCGATGCTCCCTCCGGACGGTCTACCAAGTGTGCGGGCTCCCATTGCACACATCTCAATCAGGCCTCCAAACCCGTGGCCAGTTTACAACGCCTGAGCTCTGAGGGGATGTTCACGCTTGCGATTCTGCGTCCGACGGCTAAAACAACTTAAGCCTCGGGGACACTTATCTCCAGATCGACAAGACCACTCTCATTGCAATGTCCAGCTACATGCAAACGAACGGGCATTTTTTGTATATGTGTTCGAAAGAGGGCATCAGTCATTGCTGAGCCACACGACCAAAACACACCGCCGGTCCTGGCGATGGATGGCCACTCGCAGAGTTGCAACCTGCCTGAGCCATGCCACAGGGGCAAACGGAGCTGAGATCTGAGCCCAGAACTGCGCGACGGCCATCCTGTCGGACTCTTGTGACTCTTGTGACTCGAGTCGCGAGCAATCTGGCAATAGCGAGCCTCGAGTGCGAATCCCCTGGCGGTCATTCAGGCCAAGTTTCAAACTTTGGCCGTCCGGGCCTGACTCCACCAGCGATGGCGGCTCGGAGACTTTGGGTGAGTCCGAATTCTCCACTGAATCCACGAGTTCCTCCATGAGCTCCTCCCCGCCGAGTCGCCACTCTCTCGAATGTTCGAAGCGCCTTCACGGCAAGCGTCTCCTTTGAGCTCGAGAAATTAACGCCTCAGGCCTCTCCATGGAACCGAAGGCCCGATCAAGTGCCGACCCTCATGATTGAGCTGCAAGTGGCCCAGCGCAATAGAAAAGCAAGTCGAAACCCTGCCAGAACGCACAGCAAGCCAAGTTCTTAAGATACTGTGGTCTCATCGAACACCTGCGCAAACAAACAAGTTCAGCAAGGAACTCTGGTCGAGAAAGGATGCCCTGACCGGCCAGCGGCGTGAGCTTTTTGCATCCAGCTCGTCAGCTCGTCAGCTTCAGTTTGACTCGGCTCGCCAATTTTGCAGAAAGCTTCCCTCTGGGAACGAATGACGCTCGTTTTGTCTGATATGCCTTTCTTGCTGATTAGTAGTGATCGTCAGAAGACGATGGGTTCTGCAACAGGTGCTCACGAAATCCCCCGGCCTGTCTTTGGAAGAAGCGCGAGTCGTCAAAACAAAAGGTGTGTTTTTGGCGCACCCTTTGTCCAACAGCTGCTGACTTGCTTACAACAGTGCTTACCGTCCTAGGCCCTGTGACAGGTTGGTATTTCCAGTCTTTTCAGGTTTGTTGTACTACGGCGGGCCTTGCCGCGCCCCTCCTGCTCATTTGCTCTCGGTTTGCCGTAGGCGTGGGCTTCCATATTTGGGCATAGAATTGGATTGCAGTCATGAATGATTGTATATGTGCCTGTGCAAGAAGTGGCGTCGAAGAATTGCGTGCGTTATCATTGGCTCAGTGGAGTGACCCAAAGCAATCGCTGTAGAAAATCTAAAAAGTAGCGGGCCCTCCCCCCTTATGATGTTCGAAGAAGTGATGATTCAAAAGGGGTGCAAAGATTCAAGAAAGGGTGCAATAGAATATAACAAGCAGCCAGGGGGTTGAGGGGGGGGTTACATACATACATAGATTACGTAAATTCCATAGATACATGCAAACATACATGAACATGCATATAAAGAACTCTTGACGGAGAAATTGGAGATGCTGAGGATGCGGGAAGCCAACGCCAAGAACCAATGAAAGGGTGCACAAGCCAAAAAGCCCGGAGAGGAACTGGGAAAGCAGAAATGCGAAATGCCAAAGCCACCAAAAGCAGCATAAACCAGCGCAAAAACGCCACCTGCCGGAGAGGAATTGGGAATGCAAAGGATTCAAAGAGCCAAAGCCAAAAAGCCATCAAAAGCCGCATAAACCAACAAGAAGCTGAAAAGCCAAGAAGCCGACAAGCCAGAAAGCCAATAATCAGCCAACAGCGTGAAAAAAAACAATAAAATCGAGAAAAGCCCTCCCAAGACAAATAGACTGGCCTAAACAAATGCCACGATGTTCTGGCTATCGTTGTAAGCGTGCGCTGTCCCAATGAGTTCGTGAGTGGGCCAGCACCGGTGTTTAGAGCTACAAGCGCTCTAACGTCAGAAGGGCAAACGCAAGAACAGCGCACATTGAAAGCGCAATGGAGAAGCCACCAGCATTGAAGTGACTTCTGAAATGTCGGGTAGACGTGTGACGTGAAATGGCCATCTAGGCAAGCGCAGTTGAGGAGCCTACAAGGACGAGAGAAAAAGTGGTAGTGGTGGCGGCAGTGGCGGTGGCGGTGGTGATGGTATTGGTGGTGGTCGTGGTGGTGGAGGTAGAGGTAGTAGAAGAAGTAGAAGAAGTAGCAGTAGTAGTAGTAGCGGCAGTAGTCTAGTAGTCTAGTAGTCTAGTAGTAGTAGTAGCAGCAGTAGGAGGAGTGGGAGTAGGAGTAGGAGTGGGAGTAGTAGTGGCGATGCGCTCTTGTTGTGCACCCGGCTTGATGTAAAGGCGACTTACTTTCCGCTGTTCGGAGCTGCTTGCTTGGAGCTCCCCTCAGAAGAACACACATCGACACAATGGGGTTCTTCGCACGCCATCTTTTGGAGCGATTCAAACAGACATCTTGCAATATCATTCAATATCACGCAATGCAGTCCTCAAGCCGGCGTTCCAATTGCTGCCTCTCCTGTATTCAGTTCCGAAGGTGGCCCAAAGGTGTCAATGCAAACTCCCCCCATCCTGCGCCCATGGATAAGAAATCGCCTCCTGCGCCACGATGTTTTTCTCTATCGAAAGCGCAAGTGCCCAAAGCAAAGCTCTAAGCCTGCTTGCAGCTCGCAAGCAGGGCCGACAGCTCGTCAGTTTCAAGAGCGTCTGCTTGGAGCCTCAGCTCAGCGCCGAGGTCGCGCAGTGGAACGAAAGGGCAAGGTGCTTTCAGCGTGCTTTCAGCGTGCTTTCAGCTGTTCCGGCCAACAGGGGTCCCTAAATTCCATATGCCCCAGATCCCTCTCACCAGGCGCAGACCGGCGCTCCAGATCCGCGCATCGGGCCTGCGCGCATCTCACGTCTGCGCGCTCTATGAATATCAATGACCCCAACCTCCTGGAGCAGGACACAGCTCCGCAGCTGCTCCATTCTGTGGCAGCTGACATTTAGGGCAGCTTGCTGAATGCTGCCAGCCTGATCTGCTCTGCTTGCAGCGCCTGGAGCTCATTTGGGCTCACCGGTCAAGTGAAACCCCATGCGCCTCCATTGGAACCATTGCAAGCGGCTTGGAAGCTCTACGGAATGAACCAAACGACGGATCTGAAGCTCAAAGGGCGCCCAAGAATTGGGTTTTGCGCCTTGTTACCGCTCAGACTTGTGACACCGAGAGTCTTTGGCACTGCGCTTCTTTGCCCAGAGCAGTTGATCTGACTTCTTTGGGGCAGGCGAGAGCTCAAGATTCTCAGAGCTCAGCACTCATTGACCACATCGGCTCACTGACCTGAGGCTTGCAATCTTATGACATCAAGGTCATGCGGCGTGCTCAGGCCAAGGCTCTTCCTTGGCGTTGTGGGCGATCTTGGAGTCACAGGCCTAGAGCGCAAAGCCGCAAAGCTTCTTTCGCCAGCGAAAGTGAGCTGAGCAGCCCGCGTCGTGCCCACAGTGCCCGCGTTGCCCGCACTCGCATTGCCCGGATTGCCCACAGGAAAGGCACCCTGAGCGCAGGTTGAGAAACACGGGGCGAAGGCTAGCTGTCTGACTCTTTGTGTCATGAATGCTCTCTCTGACTCTGTCGGTCTGTAAGTGTCTGTGAATTAGGACTGGTTGGTGGCCACCTAGCCAGGCCTCTCAGTCAGAAAGCCACCTAGCCGCTTCCTTTCAAATCCCCTGTGCTGTCTTTGTTTGTATCAGTGTCTGCATGCTTGTCTTTGATGTTGCTCATTGTTCTGTCTCTTGATGTTTCTCCGCGCGTCCCTGTGTCCGTGTGAGTGGTTGTTGCGCCTCTGCCGCCAGCGTAGCCTGTACTCAGGCGTGTTTGTCCCTATGTCCGTACCATGCGGCGGGCCTTCTCTTTTTTGGGCAAGGTCATGTCATCTCTGAACCAGAGCATGACCTCAAAGCATCTACATAAAATTGCGATACTCAGTAGATCCCTGTGATCATGGCTGCACGGCTGGCATTCTGAGATCAAGTCTGGAGACATGAATCTCAGCACCATGGCCAGCGTCTGGCGCAGTTCCAGGAAGATACGTCCCCACTGAAATCGTGGACTGTTCAAGCTCTGGCGGCAGTGCAAACAGCATGTGGAACACCACACCTTGGCAATCGCATTTTGAGCAATGTTGCACTTTCGCAAACATCGCCCCACCATCCTGATTGAGGAAGCACTGGGGCAAGCGGAAGGCAACGGCCAAGCCAAGACCTACATAGGAAACCCAAGGAAGCCCAAGGACACAAAGTGGAAACAAAGTGGAACATGGAACAAACTTGAATGGCCGAACAAACGATGAAAGGAAACCCTGATTGGCAACGGCAAGTCTCGCAACTCGTAGCCATTTTCCCACCTATGACAATCTTCACCCAGTGCTCGGTCAGAACGGCGGCCAAGAGTTCCTCCTGCGAGAGGCAAGGTTGGCTCTGGGCTTTCCTTTCCCTTCCTTTCCCATGTCCGGCCTTGCGTCAAGCAAGGCAAGCGGCAAGCAAGGTCATTCGAGCATCTCTCGAGCATCTCTCGAGCATCGCATGCTATGCGCTCTCCTGGGAGAGGACAGACAAGCGCTGCGTGCTTGTTGCACTGGGCCTGGCTCGATGGGAACAACATGCGGGAGACATGCAGTGCACCACAAATTGAGTGCTCCAAATGGGGTGCTGCTCACCACATGTGCTCACAAATTGAGTGCACACGGCAGCGACACTCCGGGATGGCTTTGGCGCCGGCCTCGCTTGGACCCATGGCACGGATAGCACGGACAGCAGGGATAGCAGGGATAAAGGGATAGCAGGAATAGCAGGAATAGCAGGGACAGATCCGGGTTGCCTTGAGCGCGTTGGCCATGGCTTTGCTCGACATAATCTCGCGGCCTCGAGTCGACTCGAGTCGACTCGAGTCAAAGGCTCAATCTGGGCGCATTCGGGCGACCGGTGCCCCGCTTGCGCCCAATGGACTCCAGAAAGATCTGCATCCTCACGTGCAACGTGCGCAACGTGTGCAACTTGCGCCATGGACCCCGAGAGTTTACCTCCTTATCACAGGTCCGCTTATCCGTGTGGCTTCTGCATTGATCATTTCTAAGTCGCTCGATTTATCGCACTGCACTTGTGTCTTGTGTGGATGTGGTGATCTAGTCTACTTTTGTAGCGCGACAAATGAAGCAACATGCTCCAGCCTTCACTTGCCGGGCTGTCTGAGCTTCTTGCTCACTTTGCCCCTTAAAAGTGAATTTACCTCCACAGAGACCCGATTTGGGCGATGCGCAAAAATGAAGCCTGGGGTTCAGGTCAGCACAAACAACAGCAGCCGACAAGACCCTGGAACAAGGCACAAACAGAATCACCCTCATGGCTTCGAGCCTTTCATAGTCAAAGTCAGACGATAGGGATGAAAAGGCAGCACCACCCAAGCAGACATTCATGCAATCTGTCAATGGAAGGCATATGCCATAAGCTGCGGACCCTATCACAATGGCAATGTCAAGGAAGAAGACACCCACCTGGCTGCCAAATTTTATTATCCCTTGATGGCATGGAAAACGTGGCAGCAAAGCCCAAAAGAGTGACCTGCACAGATGCAAGTCAGGCTATGTTCAGCTCAAGAATCGAGGCAGCCACGTCGCGCCAGTCCAGAGCCACGCGAAGACAGGCGACCCCTGTTCAAAAGGTCGCTTCGAGTGAGCTAATGATATTCAATGCAATCGCTGTGCAATCGCTTGCCTGCATCTCCTCTTTCGGCTCCGGTTGCGGCTTCACAGCGGTCCCCTTGGCTCTGAGGTGCCCAAAAGGCCAAAGTTCTGAGGGGCGCCTCAGTCGGCGCCTCAGTCGCTCGTGGCATGGGCACGAAGTCACCAGCAGCTAGCGCGGCCTCATGGCAAACGCAAACCGGCCAGTCCGAGTAACTGGAAGGTCCAGTAACTGGTCACCTGGTCCCTTGCAGCGGTTCCTGCCACGCCCGCAGCTCTGCCGGCCACCTGTGTGACCAAGCTCGTCAGGGCGTGCGACGACTCCGGCAACGCCCGGGCCTCCGCTGCAGCGCGCCTCGCAGCCTCCACTTGTCGCGCCCGCAGCTGGAGGTCCTTGCCATGGGCATTGAGGGCATTGAGGCGCCAGATGCCCACAGGAGCAAAGCGAAGCCGGGGGTTGCCATCCGAATCCAGGTTGCCCAAGCGAAGACTTGGAAAAAGAAATATGTTGACTCGGTTGACTCCTTGCGGATATGAGGGCTGCCCATGCATCCATGATTTGGTATGCCCTTCGACGTGTATTGATCCGTCAATGCTCTGCTCCTTGCGGGTTATGCGGAGCTTACGTGGGAAAGTCCTGAAAGATGCAATCAAAACCAAGATGGCTTCTGGTTGTGAGCAAGCGCTGCGGTGACAAAGTGCCAAAAGACTGTGAGGCACGCAGCTGGAAAGTTGAAGGTGGCAACCGGTTTGAAATAGAGCCCCTCCTGGGTCAAGACTTTGCAAAGGGCTTTGAAAGCAGCTGAAGCGCCTGAAGAAAAGCATGAAGAGCAAACATGCAGCAACGATCTTGCTTTAAAACAAAACAGCTCCCAGTCTGTGACGCGAAGCCAAGTGTGGAATGTCAAGCGAAGCAGGGGTGATCAGGCAGAGCTCCAGCGAGTACTGCGAGGCAAGCACTGCAGCCTGCAAATGCGCCTTAGAAGCTGGCGGTGGCAAAGAACAAGCTCGATGTTTTGAAGCAGAGGCTGAGATGACTGTTGAGTAGCAGCCAGATGCAGGAGAGGCTGAGCTGCATGGTGAGAAAATGGCAGAAAGTCAAGGTCTAATGGAGCGGATGAGCAGAGGCCAGTGAAGAAGGACATGCCGAACCAAGATCGTACCGCCCAGCAGATGGCGCTGGCTGCAGAGAAGATCAAGTGGAACATGCGAGGGGGGGCAACGAACGAAAGAATCAGTACCAGTAGGCCCCACCTTTCCTCACATGGGAGAATCGTCAGGGAAGCATTCTGACAAATGACTTTGAGATGTAACTTGTTTTGCCCTAGCGACGAAATGTGGATTGGCGGATGTTTCGGTTTCGAAGTGTCCCCTCTTGAGGCCTTGCAAATAAAGGCAACGCACTTGCGCAGGCCGCTTGCGCAGGTCATTTGCACGGGTGCGAAGGTGAGCGGAGCCATCCTTAAGTTGCTTCAACCCATGGAATGCCGCAGACAAGCGCTTGAAGACACAGCTTTTTCAACGCGTGCAAAACATGGGACAAAAGTTATCACGCAAAACCCCTGCGGACGAGAATGCTTTTGCGTCATGCAATCCGCGCGTTGGAAGTCAGAAAATGTCAAAACAGAGATTGGTTCTATCAATAGCACCATCTGGATCATCTCTCACTTCTGGGGACCTGCCCAAAAACCGAGAAAGTTACAAACAACGACACACATCCTTGCTACATCCATCACTTGTGGGGACATGTCCAAAACAAGAGGATGTTTCAAAAGAAAACCTCCAGCTGCAAACTTTGACAAACGAGGCAAACCAAAGGTCCTACTCACAGAGGAAAGAATGCAAACAAAGCAACAACACAAGAAGCATCAGCAGGACAGGCTTGATTGCATCAGTGGCACCCGAGTCCATCACACGTGCTGCACGTGAGAACACATATTAATTTAAAAAAAAAAGACCCGATTTGCCAGTGATAACTGCCTATTGCTTTCCTGCGGCAAAGAGAGATGAACCAACGAAGTCAATAGGTCCCTTCCCAAATCGAGTTTCTCCTGTTCGGATGTACTTGCAAGACTGAAAGCAGCCCTGCCACGTCCGTGGTCTGAGCCAGAGGCATTCAAGTACGAGGCGTATGACCTGGATGAGAATGTTCAGCCGAATAACCAGATATACGAGAATATTTACCTTGACAAGGAGAGAATGTGTTGGCTTGCTTGAATTCTGGAGTTTCTTCTCACTGAGGTGATTGGATGTCGACCCCGACCTGTCGGCCCGGACCCTTCCTCAGACAGCCCTGGAACTTCATGGGGATGAAGCATGGGAGCTGGCACTGAGGCCTGATCTGCACATGCATCCAGACAAAAAAAAAAACAAAAACAAAAAACGAAAGCCTCGAGGTGTTGGTCCAAGATCCCCAGGACCAAGTGAATCTCATCTGCAATCCGCCTCAGCTCATCTGTCCGACTTCTTGTGTGTCCTTCTTTCCGTGTCTGTGTTCTAGGGTCTTGGCCCCAAGGCTCCACGCACTTTGCCAAGGTCCTGGGCACATATGTCGCACCCTGTGAGGCAGACGGCATAAGTGAACTCGTGAATTACTCCGTAAAAATCAAAGAACGGTACGGCTGAAGAAATTTGGATTTGAGTCCGGCATGTCAGGCCGAAGCTCCTCCGATCCAATGACCAAGGCGCCTGCTGCAGGGCCTGACACGCACATTAACGTATCACTGCACTTGGCTCCACCCAGACCCCTAACAGGCCGATTCCAACATCGCTTGAAGCAGCAAAACACCATAGTATCTGCAAAAACAGAGACACAAAATCATGGCAGAAAAGTAATCCTGATGATGCTGGGGACGCAGATCCTGCGACCCCCACCTCCTGAGGCCCACTGCCGGGGTGCCTATCCCAGAAGGGAACTGGCGCCCTGTGGTAGTAGAGGTCGTTGATTTGGTCCCTAGATCTATTCCGGAGAGAGTTCAATATGCCAATATGGAGGATTGGAGGATGGATTGTCCCTGGTGGCTTGTATTGACTGTTATACCTGTAAAGCGGTCTGCAAGCCTTTTGTCAATGTACCATGCGTCGATTGACTGTACAATGACTTGAAGGGCCTTGAGCCATCATGTAAGCGGAGTGTGTGAATAGGTCAATGTGCAACAAAAAGCAACACAAAACAGACACAAATTTCTTTTGACCTTTCACACCGAATTGTATGATTGGCTTCTTGGCCTTACGTGCCGTAGCCATATATTGTTACAATGATTCATCCTATTTTGGCGCGGATGATTTGTCCTGTGAGCAAAATGGAAAACAATCTGAACTGATTCTGTGAGACACCTAGATGTATCGAAAAGGCGATGCGCAACTCTATGTACATGCGGGGCGGATGTGGCAAGACTGGGGGAGTCAGGACCACATATACCAAGGGTATCAAGGAGGCCAAGCAACCCAATTTGAGGGAAGAGGGATTCCTCCCCAGAGCACAGGGCCCTAAGGGTGTGATCAGTAAACGGTGAGCACTGGACAATCCGTAAGACGCTGGGCTCCTGGGAAAAGTACGCCAGTACAGAGGAGGGAGGGCAGGCGCAGCACCGGATACCTTAGGCTTGACAGACGGCAAGGCACGCAAGACATGCCAGTAGTCTTCACTGCTGAAGGGAATCCCTGTGGGAAAGGGATCAGAACAGCAATAGCCCAGCAAACTCTTGTCGATCGAACCTATGACCTGCTGTCGAACACTTGCATATTTAGTAAGGAGCACAGAAGGTGAGCAGGGCTGCCAGACCTAATGCCTGCCTCCTAAAGCGGTACAACGGCACTTGGCTTAAAATAGATTTCTATAAGGTCATGCATAAGCCGGTCAGGAATAGTGACATCATGCGTAGCATCCTCTCCGAAACAAGTAAGCTCAGCATCGACGACCTTCTCGGCGAGGGAAGGAAGTCGGAAGGGGGGTGCAAGGCGCGGATGATCAAGATAGTCGGCGAGGACAGCAGCAGCAGCCTCCTGTTCCTTAGTCGGGAGCTGTGCGACAGGAGCGCCCCACTGAAGGATTACCTGAAGGGCGCGGACAGCATCAGAAGGGAGAAACTCAGCCCAGGGAAGGTCAGGCCAACCCTGCTCACCACATCGGTCATGAAAGGCCTCGACACTGCCAAAGTAAGCTGATACAAGATGTGTCGAGGGATTGCATACTCCATTCTGTTCACGAGTGGCAGATTCTCCGTTTCATGCCTTCATGAGGATATTCATGAGACCGTTGGCCGGATTGAAGACGTGCTGGAGTCTGCTGTAGGTATTCGCGGATTTGTTGGCACCGGAGACGCGTCGCATTGGTACAATGTCACGAGCGGCATGATTTTGTTCTGAAGATCTTCCCGCGCCGCTCCATGGCTGATTGACGGATGGATGTGAAAAACCACGATACTCATCACTCTGCTCGATGTGGAGAACGACAATCTCCTTGTTACGCCCGTATCCTTGGACAGTGGTGCGTGGTGGCAATCTCGGTCCAATGTACCTCTTGGATTCAGTGAACATGGATGTTCCCGTAGTTGCCAGGCAGTCCGAGGTCGGGATGTCGTATTCAGGATCAGTGCAATTTTCCTCGGTTCCGAAGAAACATCTGAACATCCCGAATGTGGTTCCCCAATTTTGACTCTTTGTGGAAATGCGCCGTGCCAATAGTTTCACCCTTGCGGAAGGTCCGCCGCGTACAAAGCATGCGGTTGGTCTGGATGACCATTGCTTGATAACGATGCGCTTGTACCCAAACCGGATGAGCGTCTTGATGAGTTCCCTGGATTTCTCATCTTGAGGACTAAGGAATGCGTCTGCTTCATTTAGGCAAAAGATGTGTGCGCTGTTCTGCATCATCATCTTCACGATTGGTCTATCCTTCATTGCCATGTTATTCACCTCCTGGCTGTCCAGCTTTGGGTTCCTCGTAAGGTTTCCATGGTTCATAGTGAGCATGTTGATCGTCAGCTTGAGATGGTCCACAGGGGAACGGTCAGTTGGTTGCATCAGCGATCCCAGGATATCAGCAAATGCTCGGATGACTTCTGGTTTGTCATATGCCTTGAGCTTCTTCAATCCAATTGGAAGCTTAATCGGGTGTCCTGACACTGGCTGCGCCTTCCTGAACTCGTCCACGGTTGGACATTCTCCTCGATGGTGGAAACAGAACTCTTCTTCCTCGGTTGACATTTGGATCGACGTGTGCCAATGAGGCTCGCTTGCATTCTGTCAATTTGGGATGAGCTCCCTTTGGATCCTTGCCCAGGTTCCCCAATAAGCAAACATGGATTCCGCTATACCGACTCCTGCAGAGGCAATGATGTCGGGTCCGTGCTTCGTATTGTGTGCCAGCCACTCAACCAAAAATGCCTTGTTCTGCAACATAGTACGGAAAGGTGGATGTGCATCAACATTCAAGAGATTGCCGGTGAGGACGGCCTTGATGAGCTCGTCTGCTTTAGCTGAATGCTTGGTCAGCGAATCTGCCAAACAATCTTCACTCCGTACATGTGCAAGGTCATGCATCTGTCCACTGTTGCTTTCTTTTCTCAACATTTGGATCAAATGCATTGTCTCTTTCTGTTCCGGTTGATGTGTTGCGGATGCTGTGGTGACAAGGTTATTCGCATCAGTGCGGATGTGTGCATCTGCGAGTTCGCCTGTTATGTCTGACCAGAGACCGCGAAGAAATAATGCTGAACCGTAACAACGCATCAGTCCGTGCAATTCTGCAACAGTAGTGGACATGGTTTTGGCGGTGATCTTGTGCGTCTCATAGTCGAGGCGAAGATCTCTTTGTTCTGCAAGAAATATAAACATGCGCACGTTGGGATGACTTTTCTTCATTGCTGCGATAGGATGCATCTGGATAACCAACTATGCGTGTCTTGCCACGAAGGGGCCAGAAGCTCATACTAAGCGGGATGCTTTTGATGGTTCTGACTGTCTTATTAATGGCGCGAACGTCCTCAATGGTCGGAGATGATGCCTTGGATGCGCACCTGGAGAATTGAAAGCCAATGTGGAATTGCGTTCGCGATTGTAACCAATCTGACCTAGGACACTTCTGTATGCAGTATGCATTTGCGGAGTGAGAGGAGTGTCGTCCTTCAGGTGTTTGTCAAAGGTGATCTCCTGAAGTTCGTCAATGGCAACGTTCTGATGGACATTGATGTACCAGCCATGCTTGTCGTCTTGCTTCCATTGGATGCGTTGTCCTACGAAGAGGCAATCATTTTTATCTTCGGAACCAACTTGAAGATCTTTACGAAGTCGTCCCATGATTTCCTTCTCGAACACATCATCACACGTCATAAGAAGATCATCAACATGAAGAGAAAGTGCTCCATGAACTTGTCGATTCTTGGCATTACTACCGGAAACGGGATCCATGAGGTAATCAACTGCTCCTTCGAGATCGAAAGTATTGGATGACTTCTTTTCACTCACCAATGCGGGTTTCGGAAGCTGCTTGCCGTAGTAGACATATGTGCAACGGTCTGCCCTGGCTGGCACCAGTCCGTAGAACGGAGTGCCGAATCAAGGATGTTTCACCATCTGCGGGGTGCGTCATGTAGCCCGTAGGCAGGCTTCTTCACGCGCGCTCCAATGTGTCGTGGATATCCCATTTCAGGAGGGATCTGACAAATGATGTCACGAGTCTGATCGTATGCTTCGCCTTGGAGGAATGCTGTCTTCAAATCCATGTGAAATATATTCCAGCCCTTATTTGCGGCTGTTTGGATTGCAAGGCGGAAGCCACTCCTGGATGCAGCAGGACTGTCTGTCTGCTGATCGTTCTTCTGCTTGTCTTGGAAGCCCTGGAGGACCCAGCGAGCCTTGGTCTTTAGGAAGTTCCCATCCTTGTCTCGCTTTAGGGTAAGGACCCAGCGACCGGTGACCCAGTTCCTGACATGAATCTTGCGTGTGTCGACCAAGTCGAACACTTCGTTGTCAAGCCAAGATTTGCACTCAAGATGCTTAGCTTCAAGGAATTGCTTCTGATAAGCCCTTGTTTCAGTGGCTGTCGCTTCCTTCCGCTTCTTGCCAACGAGTGCGGATGTGGATGAAGCCTTCAAGGGCTCTTGCTTGGATGAGTACAAGACTAAGAGTGCACGGTCATCATCGGTCATGTTCTTGCATAACTGGTCAACATGATTCTTAGCTGTGTATTTCTGATGAGAGAATCCGCGTCGGGGCGATGGGTTGAAGATCCCTTTCAAACGTCCAAGAAGCACAGGGTTGCCTTCAATATCTCTCGGAACCGTGAAGGATCCGGTGTTCGCACAGATCTTCTGCTCGGGTGTCATGAATGACCAGTGAGCCTCATATCATCGTAAGATCTGGTCCTCTGAGAGCCTTCTGATTCTCCATCTTCCTGGTCAGTATATCTCATGGTTCTCTCTGAACTTCCAGCGCCGGATGAGGTCGGAACATGAGGGATCAGTTCTTCCTCGCTTTCTTATTGCGCCGGCAAGTTTGCTGGATTGTTCGGATTGTAATTGGATGAAGATGCAGGTTCACCTTGGGAGAATGCTCAGGTGACTCATCATTGTCATCTGGCTTCTTCTTCTTCTTCTTAGTTTTCTGCTTCTTGGATGGACTGCCAGTTGTTTCTTCTTGCTCAAGTGTCGGCAGTTCAAGATCTTCATCATGGTCTTCTGCTTCGGGATTTGTCACAA